TTTCAACAGTGATATTCCATACTCCCCTGAATTACCTCAACATAAAACATTCCTCTCCATTCGTTCCCAATGTCATGACTCGAGATACATCAAGAGTTCGGGAGGAACGAAGTTTCGACGGCGAAGATGATATCCTTTCAGCCCTATGGGCCGCTGCTCCTTTTCCATACCTCCCGCAAGATGCGCCAGACGAGTTGAAGAAGCTTACGATAGACGTTGAGGATCCAAAGCAGATATATGTCATACATAATGCAAGCAGGCGTCACCTCTTTCATTCAATGGTAGAAAAGTATGTTTGTTTGCTTGTGCTTCTCCAAAAAGATTGAGGCTGATTGGATATCTCCGTAGGTACATTCGTCAACTTCGATATGGTTGCGATTCCACTATTTGTCATACCCCAACCTGTTTTACTTGTCGCAAACGTCTTGCCCTGATATCTGGCCGTCCAATAAGGCCATATAGTTCGACCAGCGCGAGAATTCTAGCTGTTCACTTGGCTAGCCAAGACAATCCTGAACGAGGTCTCTGTCATAATCCTCTCGTAGATTCACCAATCCAATTTAGCAAGCATGTTAAGGCTGCTGCGCAAAGAAACCTATCTAGGTCTAAGAAATTACAAGTTAGTGGAGGCGATACTTTGCAAAGGAATACGCTCGGTACAGACAATGAGAGGCATGGGCCGGATCGATTACGAACCCGCATAACCACTATTGGCGATCCAACTGAGACTAGGGAATCGAAACCTACCATACTGAATGATCATACCAAGATCGACCACAAATCTTTTATTCAAAATGTATTTGGCACGGCAGCTTTCAAGATGGTGGAATGGCTGACACCGAGGAATCTGGCAGCACTAACAAAACAGGATGGCCCAGTATCAGATTCGAATGCACGTTCCTCACCGTTGGCTCAGTCGACACCAAGTGATGATGAGAATTCTCCTGCGCAGAAGCTAGAAGGTTCGAGTGAGACAGGGACAGAGTCGTCAAATGCTACAAAGTTCTCGCCAACATCTTCTGAAGCCCCAACAGAAGTTTCCGGGTATTCAAGCCACTGGGATAGAAATGAAAGTTCTAGTGGCAAAGATGTCTCAGATACAAGTACGAGGATGGGGATGGGCTCAGAGTCGCCTCCTGCTATACCTAACGACATCAAGCCTAGCATTCAATCGAGCCCAAATGCGTTGCATACCGAAACCACACATATCTCAAGTCCGAGATCTCGAAGGCGGACAGACTCGTATGATGCCCATGTTACTAAAGGTGTCTTGAATCTTTCGACTTCACCGAGGGCGACTGACACTGATACTACTTCGCCTTTACCTCACCATTCTATGCGCTCGAAACCCAAACGCACTCGGCATACTATGATAGCTAATCCAGTTCTCCATTTACCCGAAACCGATATTTCCTCGCCTACAGCACCCCTTATTAGTGCCACAGTTGAGCCTTCTGTTCCAGCCGAGCCTGCGAAGGACTCCAAGTCCGATTCAAATACTAACAACGCAATCGAAACCCCCTCGGTTGAAAACCACAATTCAGAGCCATCCTTACCCGATGAAAAACTACCACAAACACTTTCATCACTGCCTATCGAAGTGATTAATCTGATCTGTGATATCCTGGAAGATGATAATACTTGCGATAAGCATTCATTACATCCTGATCAGATAGACGATGATTTGAAGAGACACCAAACACGTGTGATTCCTTTGCGCCGAAAATCAAAATCGACAATTAGTTATTCAAAATCAATGAAAAAACGATGGCGTCGTTTCATTGATCAGTGTTTGTATTCTGTTCTAAGTAAGCCCAGTTCTCTCATAAAGTCTTTCACCACCCAAGATGGGCAGGTCTTCGATACGCAGACTATTTGGTACTGTATGCTACGTATGACTAGGGTTGCCCCTTCTATTGTCTTTGACAGCCTATGGATTGCTGCTGGCACACTTTTCAAGCCTCCACATGAATTAGAATGGGCCAAACAGTCTCATAGTGATAGCTCGGGTCCAGATCAATCAATCTCAAAAGCCGATGCAGCTCAGATCATAAACGTTTGCTTTCATGCACTCGTAGCTGCGGCACCGTTGCTGAAGGACTCAAGACAAATAGCAAACATGTCTCGCATACGTTCATATGGAATTACTTTGCCTGGGAGGGAATCATTCTCCATGGAATCAACTAAACTATGTCTACAATATGAAGATGCGTTCTCAGATGAGCTGGCATTGAGATTAGCTCGTCGAGTCTTTTCTGCTGTTTCCACAAGGCGTAGGTTTTCTGAATTGATCCAACTCCAACAAGATACCAGAGGCGACGAAAATGAACTAGAAGGTGTTTTGGATATTATTCTCGGTACTCTGAAATATCTCGATCTTGATATACCACCTCTACTCAATTTCACAGCTGCAGAACGAGATTTGCACGAGAAGAGAATTCCTACCTTAATACTCGATTGGGCACGAACAGTAATGATACAAGATTGGAATGGCAAGGGGGAAGTTCCATCGGATGGGTCGTTTGGGGGTGCTCTAGAGACTATTGCGGCAATATATAGAAACAGGAAATCACTTCTACTGGGCGACATACACTTCCGCACAGAATACTTTTCCGAACGACTAGATAGTGTCGCCATGCCTCTTGAGTGGTTGTCTTTCCAAACAAATAAACGTACCGTTCATTTACTCGACTACCCATATTTATTCAACCCATCAACATTGGTCAACTACTTTCGAGCCATCAATTACTCGCGGATGAATCAATCCTATGAAGAAGCAAAGTCTTTAACTACACTTGTTCGTACTCACGAGGGACTAATCTCCAATGAAGACCACCGACATCGACTTCGAGGTCGTCTTCAAACAGCAACATCAAGATTCCTGGTCATTGAGGTTAGCCGAGATAATTTACTTTCAGACGCTTTTGATGTGCTATGGCGAAGAGAAGGACGTGAATTGATGCGACCTCTAAAAGTGTCATTTGGTGGGGAGCATGGAGAGGAAGGGTTGGATTATGGTGGAGTTCAGCAAGAATTCTTTCGAATAGCCATGACAGAAGCTATCAACCCTGATTATGGTGTTTTTGCGATTGATAATAAAACAAAAATGACTTGGTTTCAGCCAGGATCACCAGAGCCGTTATGGAAATTCGAGCTTATTGGAATGATCATATCTTTGGCTGTTTACAATGGTATGACTCTACCGATTACCTTTCCCAAAGCATTCTACAGGAAATTACAAGGGGAAAGCATTACAGAACTTCATCACATTTCAGATGGATGGCCCGAGCTCGCTAAGGGTCTAACAGATCTGCTAGAATGGGATGAAAGTAAAGGGGCCGTAGAAGAGATTTTCTGTCGAACATACGAATTCAGTCACTTTCAATTCGGAAAGTTGGTAAGCCGTGAAATGACTAGCTCATCTCAATGGCCAAAATTCTCAGATGTCAACGTTGGCGAAGATTTTGAGGATTTCGATTCAACAGATGTACCACTGGTCACGAATGAAAATCGAAATAGCTATGTTAGTGATTATATCAATTGGCTAACAAATGTTTCCATTCAACCACAATTCAAAGCTTTCAAAAAAGGATTCTTCGCCTGTCTTGATCCTCGCTCTCTTAACCTTTTCGACGTCGACACTCTTCAATCTCTAGTCGAAGGTGTACAAGAAATCGACATCATTGAAATGCAACGTGGTGCCAGATACACTGGCTACGAACCTACTGATCGCGTCATTCAAGATTTCTGGTCGGTCGTCAAAGAATATGATTTGGAAAAGAAGAGAAAATTACTCGAGTTCACAACATCGTCTGATAGGGTTCCGATGGGTGGAATGAAGAATTTCCAACTCACAATCCATAGGAATGGAGCAGGTACTCAATTACCAACTACATCGACGTGCTTTCAAATCTTGATGTTGCCGAATTATGCAAGTCGAGAGATTCTAAGAGAGAGGTTTGATGTGGCTTTGGAACATAGTAGTGGATTTGGTAATCATTGATGAAGAGGATGATGGGTTGAGAGAGGGGAGGGGGTAATTGATCACTTTGTTGGTGATTGATACTGGTTTATGGATGTTGATTGATTTGAGCGTCTGGCATGCATACATGACTTCTTGAAGTCGGGAATAGAAAATCAGCGATGGAAATGATAATGAGTGTTGAAATACCTTCTTGTATTGTATTGGATAACGAATCAATTGGAATGGAATGGTGGCGTTTCTTTGGCTCAATCTCTCGGCATGGGAAAGTGATGGCAAGCATAGCATAGCATGGAATAGTATAGCGTTTGAGAAGAATACGAATGGTTGTGATATGTTTGTGTGAGTCTATTGAAATGTTGAATTTGTGATGTATTGATTTTATGAATTAAGATGAAATGCAAATGAAATGAGAAACCAATAACACAAAATCTCAATTCTTCGGGTTGCGGCCCGCGTTTCCTGGATGTGATCTTATATCTTGGCAGGAAGAGAGGTTGGAGATTTGTTGAGGAGATGGTTGGTCAGGTACGTAAGTAAGTGACTGGGCGCTTTTCTGCGTATAGTGTGGTATTTGGAATTATGGATTGGGTATGAGATGGATGGATGGATGGATGGTATTTGATTTGGAATTATTAGATAGGGGTGTGGTAAATGATCAATCTAGTCGAGCCGAGTCGAGTATTTCCTCTGGCATACCGGTGACGGTTTCATATTCTTGTATTTTCAAGTGTAGAGTTTGTAGGTACTATGTAGGAAGGCGGGGGGGATTGATATATCGATATATCGATATGTCAATCGGTTCTGGAAAATTGAAATGAAATTCATACTTGAATCTTGATTATTTGGCATATAATTGTGTGCACTGTGTTGAGTGATCCAAGGGGTTTACTTGTTTATCTAATCTGGAGTGTCGAGTTTGTGTGTTGAAGTGGATGGGATGAAGTTATTTGAATTATGATATTTGTGTGCTTAGAGATCAAATTTGTAAGATAATAGAATCAATGCGGGAAAATGGTATAAAAGCAAAGGTATATTTCATTGCATTATATTCAAGCAGTAAACCTAAATACAAAGGTATAGGTATAGGTATCGTACTAAATAACTAAACATTCAACCACCACAAGCGAGCGGGACTCCACACCTCCCCTTGTTGACTTGGAGGAGAACTATTGAATTACACCTAGTCCGTCAATCTTGAAAATATGCTCCAGATCGACAGACTTGATCCAACCAGAATACTCCTACTCATCCAACAATTCGAAAAGAGTGAACAAAAATTAAGCATCTTGAATATTAACCACATCACCATAGGCATCCAACCCCAATCTCTTTTTCGCAATCGATGTCTTGACCGGATTGGGACTGTTGAAAATCTCATCCAACTCCTCCAAGGTACGATTTCTGGTCTCTGGGATGAAAAACCACACAATAGTCGATTGAACCGCACACCAAATGGTAAAGATGATGTAAGTTTTCCAGCCAATCTTTTGCATGGAGACGGGCCATGCGAATTGGTTGAGGAGACCGGCGGCTGCGACGGCGAAACCCGAGAATCCCATGCCCTTGGCGCGCATTTCGAAGGAGAGGACTTCGACGGGGTAGAGGGCTTGGAGAGGTGTGAAACCGACCGAGTAGACGGCACCGAAGATAAAGATGAAAGCGAGGGAGGCGGTACCGGCTGCGTGGTTGGTGCCGACGGATTTAGGGTTTGAGGGGTCCGGAATGGATTCTTGGTAGAGGGCAGCGGAAACGGTCATGGCGAGCCAGACTACGCAACAGCCTGTGTGGGTATTGACGTTAGTAGAGGTTTCCTCGATAGTGTATTAGGGAGGATGATTTACCAATGTTAGAGAAGAGAAGAAGAGGACGACGACCAATACGATCAACCATTGCGGCACCGAAGAGAGCCCAGCAGAATTGTTGACAATTGTTGATTAGAATGACGTTTGCTTGGCCGATAGCACTGCCAATACCGATGGTCTCGAGAACTTTGCCCATGAAATATGACAAGACAGCTGGATTTTATTAGCTAGACTATTTTTGGGCAGAGAATAGCAGATGACATACCATTTCCGGCCCATTGACCAAAGATCGTGATACTGACGTTGCAGAAGAGACGGTAGCAAGTCGATTTGTTCTTGAAAAGCGCTCTGTAATCCCACCAACGCTTGTCGGCACCGTCCATTTCCAAAAGTTCTTCGTATTCGTTGAGTTGCAATTTGACCCATACACTGTCTGTATTTCCTTCTCCGTGGTATTTGGTAAGCATCTTCTTGGCTTGATCGCGTTTGTTATTGACGTAGAGCCACCTTGGGGATTCGGGAAGGAAGTAAGCGCAAATGAAGATGATACTGGAGAACATCAATTGGATCCAAATGATAAGTCTCCATGATTCGTCGCCTCCAATATTGCTTGCTCCACGAGCTACTCCACTAGCAATAATTGATCCAGTGAACCTGTATCTTATTAGACAGAGACTAACAAAAGATTCAGAGTAAACTTACCAAAAGCAATTGAAAATTGCTGTAACTACACCACGGTATGCTGGGTGAGAAACCTCAACAACATACATGGGACCAGCGGCGGAAGCAATGTTGACACCAAAACCAAGCAAGAAACGACCACCCATGAATTGTCTCACACCTGCCTCTCTGGTTGCAACTCCTTGAATGATGGTACCGAGAATAATGCAGAGACATCCGAGCCACATTCCAAATCTTCGTCCGAAAGTATCGGCTGCGGGTCCAACGAATGGCAATGAAACCACACCACCAATTTGGTACATGGAAGTAACGATACCGGCCCAGATTCCAGCATTTTCACCGTGGTAGAACTCGAGAAACCAAGGGTTGACAAGTAAATTGTTGATAAGCGATCCATCATAACCGTTCATGGTAGCACAGAAGAATCCGATGAAACAAGCAGTGTAGAGTTGGATTGTCGACCACGTGAAAGCCTTGGGAGGCTCCTTGAGCATTGCCTCGTTGAATGTTTCATTTCCGAGGACAACTTTGGCTCCAACTTCTGCATGTTTCTGTAGATTCAATTGTGGTTAGAATTCGTCTATGAGAAAATTAAATTGGAATCTGTCAATCATACCTCATCGTCACTTCGAGGGTGAGCGAGCTCGGCCTCCTCGTACTGAGTATTTGTCTTCTCCGCCATGACTTCCAATTTTCTGCCAAACAAGAAATGACTATGACAATTGAAAGGGATCTATTGATCTGAGAGGGATGAGGTTCCAAAATCAACGGAATATGCTTCACTTATGTATTGTAACGATGGCAATCTCAAACCCTGTCAATGGGAGACTGGCCATGTCCCTTCGTACAGCCAGTCTAAGCATACTCTCAATAGCGGAGCGCTAAATATTCTTTGGAACCAATCTATTCTCCAACCCCGGATTTTCGGGCAGGCATTCCTGGTGTGCTTTTCTTCTCCAATGAAAAGATGCCATACCACTTTGTGGGGTCCGGGGTCGTACGTTATGCAAGTATACTTTTCATAGCATTCACAAGGACTTTGGATCCTTGGTCCTTTCGTTGGCACGTATGAATCTTATCCCATTATCGTTTGGCCGTGAGGAGGCAAAAAAATGTCAACCCTTGAGAATTATCAGAACTGCTGATTCGAAGAGATGTTTCCTAGTGTAGAAGTCATTTGCGGAGTAGCTACCCCGTGTTCCAGAAAAGGAATAAGCTGACAACGCCTGACATGGCAATCGAGCTGATTTTTTGGCGAGATTGGCTTTTTGGTACCCGCTTGTCACCTGTATACCAAGCAATGCTTAATACACTTTTCCACGAATGAATATCCCATCCCGCGACAAGGGATTGAAAGTTTCAAATAGAATAATCATGCTTCTGGTTAAAACGGGTTCCTGATGGAGGTCTGTGATAGATCATAATTCGGTCCAGCTCTCTGCTTTTCCTCGTCTGTCTTCTTTGGGGGTTCGCTTGTATTTCGGTGGCGTTGAAGCGATGAGGGGATTCTTGAAGCATTGTAGTGTCAGTTTGTATAATGAGACATTGGATAACATTTTGCACAAGGAAAGTGTTAACCCTTAGCATAGCGTGATATCACGTGAACATCATGAGTTGTGCTTTTATGTGAGTTGTGTCTGCATCTCGTGAGGTGGACCAATCATTGGTAAGGTTGATGGTTCATTGCCGCCTACTAGTGCTAATCTGGGGAAACTATGTTTTTGAGAGATAGGAAGGATCTTCTCGACTCGTAGTAAGTACTTTAGCTTGTATGATAATGCATGCTACACGCGCGACATGCTTCTAGAATTCACCACCACCAGGACTACTTCAATACATCGATCGACAACTCAACAACATTTCATTACTATTTCTCCCTTTGACAAATAAACCGCCTTCTCAATCCCAACAATACCGCTTCAGCAAACGACAACATTCATTACAGATTCCCAACCAACACACCATCTGCGGCACAGCCGGTACACCTCTCACCTTGGCCGCAAAGCCTAATCTTGATTCAAAAGTCCATCCCGACATGCACATCTATGCATCTATCCAATTTCCAACCAATATATGCTTCATCCCAAGCAAATTTTCCAAAATGAGGAAACCATATTCTCGGGTTTCTCAAACTTAGAGCTTGGGAAGCCGAATATGGTTAAGATTTCACATCACAAGCTGCGTCGATGATTTCGTGTTAGAGAATAACTACCCGTCTTCGCCGCATTTGCAATTTTGCCTCCCAACAGTTAGATCAGTTGCTGAGACTTTGAACTTTGATATACACATTGGATATCTTTCACCAGGGTAGATTCTCCGTACGCACGTACAAATATCCACTATCAAAGTGATGGGAATTTAGGAATTTGGGGTCTCCAGATTTTCAATGGATGGATGGATGGATCAACCGACTAGGTTCGGAATCCTTTGCCGTTATTACTCGAGTTATTAACCTAAATATCCACAAACCTGCAGTAGGACAAATTCCAGATCCTACTCTGTACCCTGGATTGGTATAGCCGAGGCATGTGGACTGGGATTGGTACATATTCACGTGATATTCTAGCTATGAAGTATTGTGAAAGAAGAGAATGAACATGTATGCGTTTGGGAGAGAGTTAGCAAAAGGAAGGTCTGGTTAGATTATGTTGAAATCTAAACAAATTTGGATATGACTCTCTACTCATAGTATATCAAACTCCAGATATGAAGGCTAGTAAGTGAAGAATGATATAAGTAAGTGATCGATGATTGTTGGAATCTAACTTTTGAAGGAGAAGAATCTATATCTAGGTAGATAATCCAGCCAATCTCTCTCATGTCATCCATCTTCAAATCACTACTCATTCCATCAATACACAAGAGAACATCGGATATCGAAATCGAACATTGAACATCACCAAATCGAGACGAACACCTAGCATAAAATCCACATACAACAGACTGCTCATATACACCTCTTCTCCCCTAGATCTTCTCTCTCCTCATCTCACCCAACAAAAGCTTCATTCGATCTCGATATCTAACCTCAATCTCAATCCGAACCCACCAGTCCAGAGTCGAAGTCAAAGTCGAATCCACCAGTTCAAGCCAAAGCCAAAGCCAAAGCCAATCCCAAACAACATACAGAGACACCACCAAACCATCAAACGTCACAATCTGACCTCCATCAACAACCAGCCATCAATCCTCATACCTATCCCATCCAGCAACCCCGAAGTGATTAGCACATCCATCTGCAAAACGTATCTAAAGTAGCGATGAGTATATCTTCACTCAGATAATCTCCTACTCATCGAGTCCTTGATACGCTTTTCTTCCGAGAACCGATTTTCGAATTCAAAATACAAGCATGTAACATGAAGACACACAAGTATGAATTTCTGCATCTACTAGATACACAATATACTTTATTCAAAATGTGAACTAATATAGTTAAGTACTTATGTAGAGGGATATCCTCTTTTCTAGGTAGGTACTTGACGTCTCGAACTTGAATGAGTTAGATTAGACGATTCCAACTTATTTAACTCACCCAGAACATTCTATATATCCTGTTCAACTCATCGGATTCCTCGTCTCTCATATACAATATTCAACTTCTCAGATTTCTCATTCCCTATAGACAATAAACAACACTCAATACACAAAACACAATATCTAATTCCCAATTCCTCCTCTCTATACCCTCTACTATCAAAAAGATACACCCGAACAAAGTTTCACAGTCTTTATAATCGGTTGGTGAAATATGGCTATGCATAGTATCTAGTCTATACACTATATTAGATGTCTTTCCCCTTCTCCCTTTCATTCAAAACAATCTAATCTAATATACTCTAATCCATTCATTTTTACTTCTCCCCTCTCATCCCCTATATATTCATTTATCTAATTAAAATCCAATTCATCCATCCATCTCATCTCACATATATTCGTCTAACCTATCTAATCCACTTAACCATTCATTCCACTACAATAAATCCTCACTAATGAATAAAAAACACCTTTTCAAGTAATAATAAATTCCTAGCCTGTTTTATATATATCTATTCACCTACCTACCTACCTCATTAATCTATCTATTTATCTACTCATCTTCTTATTTTTTCATTCACTACAATCAACTCAACTCAAATTTTACACCCCTCTCCTATACTCCTCTTTTAAATCTCTCTTCTTTCATTTCATTCTATCCTATCTCATCCTATCCCACCTATCCCATCCCATCCTCCCTCCCTTCTCTTCCCTACCTCTCCTCTCTTCCCTTTTCTTCCATCCCCCTACCTCTCTCCCATTCCTCTTCCCTCCTCTCCCTTTCAACCTCAAACCCAACCAACCCAAACCCCAACCAACCACCACCACCACCACCACCCACTACCCCCTAACAACATAAACCCAATCCCAAGAACAGCATGAAATCTCCTCTCTCTCTCTTCCCTTCTATCCAATTTCCCTCATCCCACCCAATCAACTCAGACATTCCCCAAACCACCTAACCACCTAACCACCCAGATATTTCGAGATAGCAAAAGGAATAGTTGATTTAAAGTTCATCTCTTTCTCATCTCATCTCATCCCATCTATCTAATCCCCATCCTACTAAATCCCATCCCATTACCTTTTCAAAATCAATAAGTATACCTATCTATACTATCTATACCTATCTATACCTATCTATACCTATTTATAACCTATTTATATCTATTTATATCTATTTATATCTATTTATATCTATTTTATATCTATTTATATCTATTTATATCTATTTATACCTACTTATACCTATTATATCTATTTATACCTATTTTCTACAATTATAAATAAACTAATCAATTATAAATTTACTATTATTATTACTACTACCATTACCACTACCCCATCTCCTATATACCTAACATCCCCCACTCATCTAATCCCCACTCATCTAATTCCCACACATCCCCTCCATCACCTTTTCCTTTTCCAAAAAGAATCAATATTCAACTCTCCTATTCTATTCCCACTCATTTAATCCCAACACATCTCATCACACTCATATATTATTATAATACCTAGGTCCCACCACCTATATAATCTCTTTTGTTGTCTCTGCACTACAGTATCTAGATATCAATCCATCACATCAACCACATCTCACAAACATCTACACAATTATACCACACACACAATCACACAGAAAGAGACAAGACAGTAAACTTTTAGGATATTCAATGAGTAATTACCAACACTCAACTCTCAACAACTACCTCAATTTCATTTAATATGATATTTGCACCCATTCTATTTCCCTCCTTCCCTCCCTCCCATACCATTCATTTTTTGGAAATCAATGCCTATACTATTACCTATTTATTGATTCATCCATTCTTCAGTCCATCCGTCCATATGTATACTCCCCTGCCATTTTGTGCACTTCGAGATTTCACTGATCACTTTCCTTCATCCCTCCCACTCCACATTTGATCTCCCTTCTCTCTGTCAAAATCCATTCACATTGAATTCTTGAAGCCACCTCATTCATCCTCGCACTAATCCTCATCTCCTTTCCAGCATACACCATAACAACCAAACTAATAAGCAGCATTTTATCTATAAAAATCTGCCGGATTGGATGCACTCCCGGGTGGCGCACTAGGCGCGTTAGCCAGCCCCTGACTCGGTCCCTGATTACTATCACTACTATCCGGTCGTCGATACGCCTTGTATTGCCCCTGGCTAGGCAAGGTTGACCTCGCATCCCCTAACACCGGATATGGGCTCCCTTGAACTGGACTAGGCAACGAAGCTGGAGGTGCTGGTGGTTCATAAGATGGCTGAGGAGGTTGTGATGGTTGTTGAAGAGGTTTATAAGCATTGTATTGTTGAGGCGGTTGAGATGGGGCTGGTGTGGCTGTATATGGGTCTGTCTCGTTGTATGCAGCATATGGATGAGGATTTTGTTGTTGAACTGGAGAATCATAGACAGAAGTTGCAAGTTCTTGTGGATTAGAATATGTACTTTGAGGGCGGTGTCCAGTTTGTGGTTGTGGAGTTGGGTATTGAGATGGAGGAGGACTGCTAGTTTCAAGTGGAGGTAGTTGTGAACCTGATGGAATACGAGGGGTAGGATCTCTTTGGGGATATGGCTGCTGACTCTCTGATTGTGGAGGTTGCTGGCCGGGGTATGGTAAATAACTCTCTGATTGAGGAGGCTGTTGGCTGGGATATGGTAGATGACTCTCTGCTTGTGGAGGTTGTTGTCCGGGATATGATTGATGATTCTCTGATTGTGGAGCTTGTTGACCTGGAGCTACAACGTAAAATGGGGCCGGTCCATTGAGTTGAGGAGGATAACCGTTAGATGGAGATGGTTGTGGCTGATATGGTGGTTCTACATAGACTTAGTATGTCGATGTTTATCAATATTTGAGTTCACTCACCTGATTGAGATGGTGTATAATATCTCTGGGGCTCTTGTTGTGGTCTTGCGGCTTGAGGAGGGTACCCATAACCTTGTGGACCTTGAGGTACTTGCCCTGGTCGACCATATTGATAAGGTTGTGCCTGTGTCATAGAGGCATCAAGTAAGCTTTCATAATCACGACATGATTTGATGAATCTCTCATTGAGTTGTGTGAAATCATCTAATGTATGTTAGTGAGCTGATCATGAGCCGTTTATTAGACGAATATCCAGTTCTTACCTTTTCTCTGAGAGTACTTTCCAATAAGCTCAATAAGCTTCGGCCTAATGGCGAGAGTAGAATGGTAAAGTTTCTGAGTATGTCAGCAAGTGTCTTGAAAATGAGAATACAAAAAACCTACTGTAATTTCCTCATTATCACGGGCATCTAATTGAGATGATGAAGTACTCAATAATGTGAGTAACTTCTCGACATTCTTGATTTCGGCAAAAACCTCGGCCTCCATTTGCGCTTCTCGTTGTAATTCTTCTGGTGTAGGATCGACTAATTTCTCGACATAATTCAATGGGAAAATACCAGTCTTCCCTCGTAGGGATCCCCTCCACCAATCCTTATATACTGATCCTACAACTGTAATGATATCGCCTTTTCGAAACTGTAACTCATCTGCATCTGTAGGCTGGAAATTGTGAAGTGCTCTCACTCTTGAGACAGTAGCCGCAGTGGTCCCAGATGGTACTTGTTGTGGCTGTGCAGCTTGTTGCGATTGTGCCGGTCCAGCGGATGAATCGGATGGTTGTGCAGCCTTTGGCTGACTACTTTTATCTTGAATGGATAATTTTAATGCCATCTGTAATTCATCTTCTTCCTTCTGTCGATCTAAATCCGTAAGTCGATTCTTTGATGGGGCGGAAGGTGGGTGTAAGTTGGGATTCTGGCTCTTCAAGCGGTGGTACTGATCATTCATAATTCCCAAATCAGGGTCTGTAAACATTCCTGCCCATTCCGCCATTCGTTCTAGAATCTTTGCCTTGACTTGTTGATGTGTGTTTCTATCGTTCGCCAGTCTCAATAGTGCATCTGTGAACGCTCTCGAAGCCAACTCTCTGTGCATTTTCGCGCCGCAATTTTGACTCAACGCATTGGCAAGCTATATAATGAATGTTAGATTTGTTGAAAGCGATTCCGACTCACGCGATGGCCAACCTCTAAAGTATATAATTGTACGTTGGCATTTCGATGCGCCAACCTCTTTATCATGCTTGCAACGGCATCTTTAGCACCACCATCTTCACCAGTTACTTTGTCGCAAACATCCATAATGTATTCCCAATTTTCCGAGGTGAGGTTCTCGTCGGTCGCCTTAGCTATATCGTCCATAAATTAGCATCATGCTCAAGGCTTCATTCGAGGTGACTGGGGATTCGAATGAAATCGTAAGCAGTGACTTACCGACGACCTCGTCAAAGGCATTTTGTTGCGCGCGAAACATCGTATAAAAACTCCTATATTACTTATATCTTTCAGGAAATAAATGTCGTGGGAATTTTGTGGTTATGAGGGTGTAGAAGGTGTAGAAGGTGTAGGTAATGTAATAAGTAAGGGTTGTAGATGGTTTCCTCCTAGAAGATCGAGCCCCGCTAAATAGAACAAGTGCTGCGGTAGCGTATCACGAGCATATCAACGTCACTGGAAGCTTTCCGACGCCGCACAAGGCACAAGGCATCAAACCAGAATACGACGTATTGAAGAATTCGATGCTAAAAATAGAAATTCTGGATTCAATTTCAATTTTCGTATCTCCCATGGAAACAATGTAATCTTTCGATCAAGTGGAAGTTTGATGCTATAGCATCGAGCCGTACATGTCACATTCAATACTCAACATACGACAACTCATTGTTTGATCACAACATGGATATAGTTGCTCAACGTAAATATACATTCAAAGAATAGAGTATTCAAAGTTTTGGATCAGCATCCAAGTTCTGGGTTATGAAGCCGGACCTAATCTACTTGCTTTCATAAAGGCAAGAGCTAATTTCTTGTTGTACATATAAACAATTGCATACTTACTCTCTATAAGTATAGCAGATTGTGACATAAAAAAAGGGGTTGAAGATCCCATGTCAAGGGAAACCACAACAGACAACCAGACGCTATGCTTCCAATCAATTAGTTTCCTTCCCAATACCACAATCATCCATCCAGATATGAAACAGCGCCTATACTCCATCGTTATATGCATAAAAGGACACCCCCGTAATAATTTTTGCTACAACAAGAGAGGTTACTCATGTTACCACATCTCACCGTCATCGGCTGCTTGATCATGTGATTGCGTTCGCCCATAATCGTGGTACTTCTGATTTTGATCATTATAGCCATTCTCGCTATTGTTTTGGCCGGTGCGAGATTGTGGACGATTGTGGTCCTGCTCGGAATCGCCTCCTTGATGATCGTAATCATATATTTGCGAGTCATCGACATAATTAACAGCCTCACCAGAATGGTTGGGATTCTGGGATTGTTCAGCATATTGAGTGATGCCCTATAAAGTGTCAGCTCAAAATATTCTGAAGTTCCTGAAATGGAGGGAATCATACCTGGTGGTAATCGTATCGATATTGGTCACCCTCTTGTTGCTGCTGTTGCTGTTGTTGTCTCAACTGTTCTTGTTGCTCTAGGTACTTTTGTTCTTGCTCCTTCTGCTTTTTCTCTGCCTCTGCCTTCTTCTGTTGCACAGATTGAGGTACTTGCATGTGTGGATGCATTTGTTGAACCTTGGCCAAGTACGAGTACATGAAGTTGCTGAGTAGAACCTGACTGTATAATGCCCGTTTGGGATTAGCTAATTTGATATGAGCCATGCGATAAATTGCCCTTTCTTCCATTATTGAAAATCTTGTCCAGTTGTAATCAATATCTGGCTTCAAGATACGTTGCGGTGGTTCCGGCGAAAGAGTGCGAAGTGAGCTTCCTTTTTTGCCCCCTGAATCTCGATCGGCTTTCTTCTTTCCACCACCAAAAAGGGACGAGAAGATGCCGTCCTTTTCCTTTTTAGGCTCCCCGCCAGCTTTACGACTACTTTCTTTCTTGCGTTCATTTTCGAGTTTATTATCAACATTATCTCTCTCGACTAAGAAACTTTCCCGACCTCTCGTAGTTGTCTCCATGGTGGATTGCAAAACATCCAATCGAGCATTATCATGCACTTTCTCCGACGGAACCTTGCCCCTGTTCTTATCATCTTTTTTCTTATCCTTCTTGTCCTTCTCATCACTCCCTTTGAACCAACCCCAACTAGTCTTCCGAGGCCCAGAGTTTTCCTCCTCTCTTTCCTTTCTACTTTTCTTGTCGATCTTCTTATCATCGAAGGTTGGAATGTGAGTGAGCGCATCTGTTCTCAAAGAGTTCACCGGAAGTGAAGAAGATTGCTGATGTTGAGGCATATCGTTTGCAGTTAATGTCTTTGGGAGATTGGCACCGCCGGAAGAAGCTTGTCGCTCTAATACCGGACGTTTGTTCGATCTCGCTGGAGGTTCTGGAATAGACTGAGGAGCAGCTTGAGGAGCAACTTGGGGAGCAGCTTGAGGGATTACTGGGGAGGCGTGTTGCTTCGGTGAAACTTGCGTAGTCTGTGAGGATGTTCTTTCGGGGTACTGGAGAGACTGTTTGCCCATTTGTGGTTCCGAAGTTTCTTCTACAGGAGGTGGTGTCTCTACTATACGCGGGACTGGCGAATCCGTTCGAGGATGGCTAGCACTTCTTGATCGAGTTGCATCATGAGCAGGGGGAGAAGGCTGTTGGCTGGCGTTCGGTAATATTTCTGCATTCAATGTTGGAGCTGGAGAATCAGATCGTGTAGGTACTTCGTGGATAATATTTCCCGGAATTGGAGGAACTGGTGGGACCTGATCAATGTTCTGCATACGCCGTGCACTCCTGTTGGGTCTCGAGAAATTGTCCGTGTTACCTGAAGGCTCTGATAGGGTGTGTGTAAGAGGGTAACCTGCAGATGGACGCCCATCAATCGGCGAAGCCGTTGGTGAATCACCCCCGTCTGTATCAGCTCGAATAGAGCCAGCCCTTTTTGAAAATGGCACTCGCTCTCCCTTTCTTAAGCTTCCCCTCCTATATGTCGTGTGTGTGGACCTCCTTAGACCGATTCCGGGTGCTTGGGGTAAGATAGGTAAATCTTCTCCTTGAGCACCCTCACCCCTTCCCGTATCGAGATTCAATTTCTGCATTGCTTTTGAAGGATCCTTTACCAACTCGTCCAATTCCTGAAGATCCGAGATTCTGAGATCGGGCGTGTGATGTGATGATAAAGACTTTTTCCTCTCTAGATGTTCTGCCCCATCTTGATACCCTATAGCCCCCTTACCACCCGAATTATCAATCTGCCTTGACAACATAGATTTCTTCCTCCTCAAGCTTGCCCCAGACCCACTCTGATCAACTCCATTGGCCGTTAATGAGTTCTGATCTCCAGATCGTCGTTTTATCGATTGAACGCGATTCTCTAGGAAGGTTTTGAATTCCATGGGTGCAAGCTCGGGGTGAACTCTGGCGGGTACCCAAAAGAGTCGCGATGGATCGTCCTCGTTGTCGTTCCCTGTTGGAGCCGCTGAGGGCATTGAAGATACACCTTGGAACGATGGCAGATCCGGATCACTGGTATTGCCCACATCCATAGACATTCGCCGTAACGCTTGTAAATTACTTAGCTCTTGTGCGACAGCAGCTGGCCCGGATTCATAGTCGATATCGTTCAGCGGGAACTCCGCATTTGCGGTACCTCCTGCATTAGGATCACGTAAGGACAAAGATGGCGATATTGGACCCCCATCTCCAAATGTTGGACTTCTGGGACTTTGCATGATTGCTGGTGAGGTATGCGCTTTGTGGTTTCCATTTACTAAGGGTACTGGGCTGGGTCTAATACTGCTGTTTGTGTCGTAAAATGAATTCGTTATTTCTTCGATAGACTCACTGGAAGAGGACGGCATAAAGCTAAGAGGCCGTGAATCTTGTTTTGAATAGTCATCATCCCCATACATATCCCCAATCGCCTCCGTTACATGATGGTTTGGATCGTTGATAGAAATTCGTGGATCCCGTCTAGGTGCGAAACTCCCCCCAAGTTGTTCTCGAGGTCTCGAAGAGGTCTATTGAAGAGAAAAGAGGTTAGTAAAGTTTGTTGCAACAGTTCTTAAATAAGTGAGATATCTTTGTAAAAAGTATTATACACAAGGACCAAGGTCTAGCAAGGAAAGAAAGTGTAGCAAGAGTAAATTCAGAGAGATTGAGAGGGAGGGAGAATGATCCGACTTGAATGTCCAACAGACAAGCAGACAAGCAGACAAGCATGAGGAGTTGTTGGGTAAGTAAGGTAGCAACTCGCAAATACTATTCTGATCCGGCTTCTTTCCCACCATGTACGTCGCGTCGCACAATGTAGTAACTATTCCATAGAGATGTGCATACCTTCATCGGGAGTTGTGATGCGGGTCTTCTAAGAATTCCCTTGCTGAGATAGAAGAACTAGCACCTAATAGAATCACTGACGATACCGGCGATCTCATCTGGAGGTGTATGGGTTATGGGCTTATTAGTGTGGCAAGACTGGAGAGGATTAAAGAGCTTAATAAATATACATCGATGGGCACATTAAATAAAAGTATGTCAAATGGGTGAAAGTGGAGAAAAGAGTTGCGATGGCATAATGTTGTTGTATGCGGTAATGATCGAGTGTAAGTGTGAGTGTGAGTGTGAGTGTGAATGGTGAGTGGTGAGTGTGAGTGGTGAGTGTGAGTGTGAGTGTGAGTGTGAGTGTGAGTGTGAGTGTGAGTGTAAGTGTAAGTGTAAGTGTAATAAGTGTTGTTTGGGGATACTGATTATGGTAAATAGGAAGGATCTCAATTAATTCGAGTTGTGCAATTGGGACCAAATGGGGATTGTTGTAGTGAGTAAAAGTGGCATATGAGTGGATAGATTGGGGGGAGAGTTTTTTTTGGGGGGGGTGTCCACCAGTGACCAGTAGTGGTGACCCGTGAGTGATGGAGTGACGGAGCAACAATGGAGTGAGTGGTTGCTTGGGCTTTATTTATGGGATTTACGAGTGTCTGCAGAGTACATAGTAGATTTTGTTAGCGAAAGATATAAATCGTCTTAAATCTGATCATCCCTACTATGGATCATGTATGGGAAGCAATCAACCATCACCATAAGATCAACTATTGAAAGAAACTAATAAAGAGAATAGAAGTTCTAGGTACCAGGTACTATGTGGTACACAGATTTTTCAATCAAGAGATTTTTCACATATCTACCCAGGTAAGTCCAACAAACATATATACTTGTAACATTCACTCTTTGACGAAAATATCACATAGGGGCTATCCGAAATAGGGGATAAATGATCGAATGTCCGAGTCCACATATGAGTGTATGAACATCTGGGCACTACTTACCGAGTAGATACAACTGGATTGGTAGGTAACTGATATTGCTGTATGTTGTCGGAATCACCAGACAAACTGCATTGTCTCCCATGCATATGACAAACTGACTGATCTTGTAGAATTAGATATCACGATTGTACTCGTGCAGTACCGTACATACATCATGTACATACATACTGCATAGTGACATAATGAAAATTTAAGGCCATGGTACATGCATGGTACATAGTACTACTCATTCGTATTCTTGAAAATTCTTCAAGCTTCATGTTGAACATCATCATCTATTGGGTACCGGTATACCAATGCCTACTCTATCAGCTGTGCTTTTGGAGACCTTTTACATCTCCCCAGACTTTTTTTCGTGTCACCCACCCACCTCCTCCTCATCCAAGGCTGTATTTCCATCTCTGATGAGCTTTGCATGTTGTTTACCAGGTATTCAGAGTTCTAATGTCGGTTGGTTGCGACAGCGCCTAGAGTCATCCTTCAATTGAGAGATTCTTAACCATCCCTTTCCGTGATTAGCTACCCAGGCATGCGGCGCAAACACACGATAATCCAAGAAAAAGACGTAGGGGGGTCAGAGAGGGCACGCACCGGAAGCTTGTTCTTCCCGATGATAGGTACTTGGTTATATATATATATATGAAGATGCTGCTGTCATTTCAAATGATGAATTGAGCCTCCGAAAGTTGTCTCTCAAACATCCATGCTCACTGTCAGGGTCCCAAATTACTCTGGCTTTCATGAATCACAGACATCTCAAAGGCTTTTCGTAAGGCATCCTCTTCTAAACTTTGATGTGTATATATATGTGTATATATATATTCCTTCTTGCGGGGTTACATAGGTAGGTAGTAAGGAGAAAAAAAAGAAGTTTTAGAAGACTAGAAATTATGACCAAGGTTAATTATAGAACATGGGCTGGCTCAGGGGCATTTGTGAGTGTGTGTGTGTGTGTATGCGGGTGGGCAACGGTTGATCGATCTAGAATCTTTTTTTCTTCTTCCATTTCTTCTCTTCGTATGTGTCATGTCATGTCATGTCGTATTCGCACCCGCCGTTTCCTGCCACAAGACAAGAAAAAAGCAAATCGAAACAAAATCAAAGAAACCTTCAATCACCATGACCAAAACGACATCACTTTGGTCGAATTTCTGTCATTATGCATAACCCTACCTACAGATAAAACGGTGCCAGAATACCGTCACCCAATAACAATATTTGCTGTACGATTAGCTCGACCTCGGGATTTCTCGTTCCTCACAGCCACAATGTTGAGAGTTCCAACTTCCAAGTTCGCATTGACTTCATTTGTGAATGTTCGAAACCTCACGAGCTCACCTCACCACCTCACTTCAAGACACACCACGTACTCAAACACGAGGGTCTCTCGTCAAAGGTGTGGAGTTCATCAAGAGAAATACGATTTTGAGATTGTGAGACATCTCTAAATTATACATTTACACAAACCTACATGCAGACACACTATCAATCAAATGAAATTTCCTGCCACTCAAAGTCAATCAATCATTTTGACTTTCTCTCTCTCCGGAATTTGAATGGACATTGGTGTATTCCGACATGCTTCCCTGCTTCCTGCTCCCCCCAGGGTAACCTGTCAGTGACAACGTCATGTCGCCTCTTCGGGTCAATATATAATCCTTTGCTGGCATATATGCAGTCGTTCTCCAACTTCATATCCCCGTACGCATCCAACAGTAGGTGAAGAGTACGAACAAAACGGGGTTCAACAACTGGTTGATGTTTACCCCACAGTACTCTATTTCCCCGCATCTTGACCTGCAGAAGCCTGCAATTCTCGACAATTCAACCGCTTCGGAAAAACTCTCCCTCGGTATATCCATTGACCGAGTTTTGGAGAATCCATTACTGATGCAACTTTGACTTTGTTCCTGAATTGGTACAAATGGCGTGGATTCCCGCGGGAATTCCATCGACAACGAAGCATTGTGCGCTCATACAGAGTGCTGCTCTCAAATCATGGCTCTAATCAAACGTTTGATTGCCTTTGTCGCACTGTCTCTTTCTTTAGATTTGGTTTCTGCTCAGGCATGCTGGAAAAATACAACTTGCAGTGGACCTCTGGAAGCTGCCTTTCCAGGTCCTTGGGATGCAAATATCTATGCACCTTCAAGTCGCCAGGTATCTCCGAAATCGGTCTTATCCGCAACAACCGGAGCTGTTCTATCTAACTTCACGGGCTCGATCGGACTTTCTGGAAATGGTTCGAAATATACTCTTGACTTTGGTAAAGAGGTGGGCGGACTCGTGACTCTCAAATACACTGCCTCAGGGCCTGGTGCAATCGGGTTGGCTTTCACAGAAGCCAAGGATTACATCGGAGAATGGTCGGACTCGTCTAATGGAGGGTTCAAAGGACCAGATGGCGCTATTTATGCAAATTTCACATCGGCTGGCACAGGAACATATACCATGCCGGATCTTTCGCTTCGTGGAGGTTTCAGATATTTGACCTTGTTCCTGATCGCCAATGGTACCACGAATGTCAATATTAGCAGCATCGTTCTTGAAATTGGGTTCCAGCCAACATGGTCAAATTTACAAGCATATCAAGGATACTTTCACAGCAGTGATGAAATGCTAAACAAGATTTGGTACTCTGGTGCTTACACTCTGCAAACAAATGCAGTTCCTGTAAATACTGGACGTCAAATCCCGACTGTCAAAGTGGGTTGGGCCAACAATGGCTCTATGGGACCGGGTGACACAATCATTGTAGATGGAGCGAAGCGGGATCGAGCCGTTTGGCCTGGTGACATGGGTATTGCTGTTCCATCGACATTTGTTAGTATTGGTGACCTCGTCAGTGTTAAAAATGCACTTCAGGTCATGTACAATTACCAGGTATGTTAATATTTAGTTGGTCTTTTTGTTCCTAACTAGTGTGGGAACACCTTCTTTTACATACCCATTTCTCGCGTTGAAACTGGTTCAATGGCCGAAGATTCGGACTGACTCAATTTAGAACAATGTGACGGGTGCATTTCCAGAGGCAGGGCCACCATTACTACAATTGGGCTCTGATACATATCATATGTGGACTATGATTGGAACTTACAACTACGTTCTTTACACCAATGATACTTCGTTCCTTTTGCAAAACTGGGCGAAGTATCAATTGGCGATGAATTATGTTTATGGAAAAGTCAGCGCTCCTGGTCTCCTTGAGGTCACTGGAATTCGTGATTGGGCCCGTTGGCAACAAGGTTTCAATAACAGTGAGGCGCAAATGATGTATGTTTTGATGTCAATGTGATTAAGGTGGTTGACTAACAAATACACAGTCTCTATCGAACTCTTCTTACTGGCGCTGATCTTGCCAAATGGGCTGGTGATACTACCAATTTGACGGCGACATGGACCAGTCATGCGGCTTCTCTTAAAACAGCCGTCAATAAGTACTGCTTCGATTCATCTTATGGATCTTTCAAAGACAATGCAACAGAAACTACATTACACCCTCAAGACGCAAATAGCATGGCTCTTTTATTCGGAGTTGTTTCCCCAACTTCCCCTACAGCTAAAACTATTTCCGCCAACCTTCTCAAGAATTGGACCCCAATTGGAGCTGTCGCGCCCGAACTTCCAGAAAACATATCCCCCTTCATATCGAGTTTCGAGATCCAAGCCCACTTTACAATTGGAGAGACAAGTCGTGCGCTCGATCTCATTCGTCGATGTTGGGGTTGGTATCTCAACAATCCTAATGGAACCGAAAGCACAGTCATTGAAGGTTATCTCCAAAATGGTACCTTTGCATATCGATCAAGCAGAGGTTACATGTACGATACCTCGTATGTATCTCACGCACATGGCTGGTCTTCAGGACCCACATCCGCCCTCACAGAGTTTGTATTGGGTCTTAGTGTTACTAGCCCCCTGGGCAAAACGTGGCAATTAACACCACAATTCGGAGACCTGACTAGTGCAGAAGGTGGATTTGTGACTACATTGGGGAAATTCCAAGCCGCTTGGAATCTT